CCTTCACTCATGTTCTTTCTCCAACTTTGCTAACATGCAAAACAGTTTCTACCCATACTCTGGGAAGGAATTTTCAGACAGAATCACCTGCAGGTTCCATCCTATCCTAATTTTCCATTCCACACCCAACTCTTCTGCTTCAGTGTCGTCTGCATGCCTCAATTCCAGAGGTGGTGGCAACACAGAGACAGTAGTGTCCTGAGACCTGGCCTCAAGCTCCTCGTTTCTGGTAAGGTGTGATGGAGCTTCTCACATTTCCCAGTAAGTTCCAACTGTCCACCCAAACCAGCTCTTCAGGACAGCTAGCAGCTGTCTTGATGCTCCAACTTACTGCTTCCAGAAGCTCCCCTTTTAATTAGTACATCCACCTTCTTATAATCAGTCCCTCTCGTTACCTTCCTGGTGACTACTTCCAGGACTGAACTCTAATGGATAGGTTGTAGAGGAACACTTTTGCTCTACCCTCCTTGGTCCTGCCAACCAACAAAAGAAAAGTCAGAGGGGAAAGGCAAATTTTGTAGCGAATTCTTACCTCCTGTGTATTTGGAGGTCTTCGGGTAAGAGTATAGACAGGAATAAGCAGAAAGACAAGAGTTTTATGGTATTTCAAGAATGATGAATCAAGAGGGAAGGTAAATATAAGGAAAGCAATGAGAATAGTTGGATTCACCATGTCAATTCTTCTTGGTCATCTCTAGGTCATGAGTCCTCTCAGATAATTAATTCAACCAGTATAGTTTTTCCCAGTCCCACAATTTACCTGCAAACTTAATTCTTTATAGTTGAGTATTATTCCATTGTGTGCACATATTGCATTTCCTTATCAACTCATCAGTTGATAGACATCTAGGTTAGTTCCATTACCTAGCTGATGTGAATAGAGTAGTTATGCCTCAAAGTCAGATGTTACATGTCCTCCAGAATATGTGGATCCCAGATTCAAGCTTTTAGTTTCATGTGTTTAACTTAAAGTAGGTGTAGAAAACAGAAACTAGAAATAGACCATTGGTGTTGTTGGGGAGATGCAAAGTCGAAGTAGAAAGGGGGAATGCTGGAAGAGGGGCTCAAAGAGGCTAGAGTGACAGTAATGGGAAAGATATGGTCCAAAGGAAGGCTTTATCATGAAGTATGCATGAAAGAAGATACTTTGTTATTTATGATCTTGCAATCCAAATATATATATATATATATATATATATATATATATATATATATACACACACACACACACACACACACACACACACACATATATATATATATACACACATACACATACACACATATGGTGAAGGAATAGTAGAACACATGTAATATAAAAAGAGTGTGAAGTATACAGGGATCAAAGATTTATATATATGGAGGGGACAGTGGGATAAGGGAAATGAGGATAGGATTTGGATTAACCAAACCTAAGAATGTATGAAGAAGCTCATGAACCTCATTAGTTTATAACCTAATTTTGTGTGTGTATGTATCTTTTATTCTTTTGGTTTTTCATGACAGGGTTTCTCTGTGACTTTAGAGGCTGTCCTGGAAATAACTCTTGTAGACCAGGCTGGTCTTGAACTTACAGAGATTCACCTGCCTCTGCCTCCCCAGTGCTGGGATTAAAGGTGTTCTCCACCACTTCCCAGCATGTATATTTTTAAAAGGAGTTTTAACAAAGATGACCAACCTATATTAGTGAGCCATGCTACTCCCAAAAGATGTAGGTCATTAAATCAAAAATAAAATCACACTGCCAGGCATAGGTTACTCTAGTTACTGGTCAGAAAAATCCCAGAAGCACCCAACCCAATACTGGTTATGCCCACTGATCTTGGAGGCCCATTTTAAGTACATAGTAAGACCCTGCTTCTGAAGACATCACATAGTTGCAGGGCACAGAAAAGTCAATCCTGAACTGACTAGGAATGCTGAAAGGTGCTATGCATGAGTCTATGGGGGAGGGCACATTAATGGGTTTGTCCAGGACCAAACCTTGCATGCTACAATACTGACTCATCAGGCAGTATGTACCACTGGTACAATAGTGGCAAGATTGCTTGGGGTTGGGGGTAGGGGTGGGGTAAACAGTCATTCTCTTGATTGGATTTTAGGTATGCCCATTACTAGGAAAGCCAAGGTATCTAGGTGTAACTTCCTATTCATTTCTAAATGGCCACTGTGGTGGTCTAAATGAGAATGGCTCCCATAGACTCATATTTGTGAATATTTGGTTTCCCAATTATTGGAATTGTTTGGGAAGGATTCAGAGTTCTGGCCTGATTGCAGATGTGCCACCGTGAACAGCGTTTCAAAACCCCTGCCATTCCCAGTGTCTCTAGGGGAATCTGTCTCTTATTCTAATCCCAAATTATCTTTAAGGGTAACAAACAGGCATTATATTAACAAGAAAGAAAGATGGAGAAAATGCAAACTCAATGGCTTAACAGCATCCAATAGACCAGTGAGCATTTGACCTAAAAATTTGTTGGTATAAAACTTCTACCAAATCAGATATATATTCCAATTTCTCATATTGGCGATCTTCTTTCAAATATCCTTAATAGAGAAGTTTAAGAGTTAACTTTAGTGGTTAAGAGAGGGGGGGGTCACTTACTTATGCCTTTAATCCCAGCACTTGGGAAGCAGAGGCAGGTAGATCTCTGTGAGTTTGAGGTCAGCCTTGTCTATAGCCTTGACTATAGAGGGATACACAGAGAAACCCGTCTTGAATTCAAACAAAAGAGAGTGCTTACTGCTCTATTGTAAAGTCCAGATCCCAGCACCTCCATTGGGCAACTGATACAAATGTGTGCACTGTGTATAATTTTAAGTAGATGTGAGCCTTTGAGGCTTTCTCAACACCACCTTTAAGTCACTATTTCCTTCTGTACTGACAACCCTCCATCTCTTCCCCATTGTTTCTCACTTCATATCACTTACGTTCTGCTATTCCCCTCCCAACTGCACCATTCGACCCCCTTTTCCTATTCTATGGTGTTGTAGAATATTAAGATGTGTTACATTTATGCTGTGGAACATTTGTTTAATGATGCAAATGTGCTGCCTTACTTTAACTGTGAAGCTGTGTTACTTTGCCTGTCTAAACATCTGATTGGTCTAATAAAGAGATGAATGGCCAATAGAAGGGCAGGAGAAATGATAGGCGGACAGGCAGAAGTATATATAGAAGCAGAAATCTGGGAGGAAGAATCAAGGAGCAAGAAAAAGGAGAAGCAAGAAGAGAACAAGGAGAAGAGGATGGTGTGGCCAGCCAGCCAGCCATGTAGTAAGAGTGAAATTAAGATACGCAGAAGAAAAGGAAAAAGCCCAGAGGCAAATAGATTCTAAGAGGGATACTAAGGAAAAGATGACTAGAAATAAGCCAAGCTAATAAGCCTCTATATGTGATTTATTTGGGAGCTTGGTGGTGGGACCCCTGAAGAACAAAGACTAAAAAGCAAAACCAGGACAGCCTCCAAAGCCACAGAGAAAACCTGTCTGGAAAAACAAAACAACAACAAAAAAGTAAGAACAAAACAAACCCACTATGGTCCCTTTATATTTTTCTGGTTTCTGCAGTTATGCAGCTAGGAAGCTAGAAACCTCAGATGAGAGAGAACGCTTGATGTACCTCTTTATCTCATTCAATGTGATCTTTCCTAGTTTCAGTATTTACATGTTTCCACTTCCTTGCTATTATGAATAGGGTGGCAATGAACATGGCTGAGCACGTATCTACAGAACATGTGAACTCCCTGGAGCACATGTTTAGGAGTGGTATAGCTGGGTCACAAGGTAGATTTATTCTTAAGTTTGAGGATTGTCCATACACAAATATGCACTCTGAACAGAACTCACCAACATTTGTTGTCAGCTGTTTGATCTTAGCCATTCTGACTGGGGTGAGATGAACTCTGAGTAGTTCTAACTTGCATTTCCCTAACTGCTAATGAACACATTTTGAGGTGTTTTTTAGGCTATTTTTATCTCTTCAGTTGAGAACTATTTAGATCCCCAGCCCATTTTTTTAATTGGGTAATGTGTTTTCTTGACTCTGTTCTTTATTTGTATATTCTGGATCTTACTACTCTGTCAAGTATGTAAATGAAAGATTCCCTCCATTCTGTGGGCTGCTTCTTCACTTGTTTCCTTAGCTGTACAGAAGCTTTTTTAGTTTTATGAGGTCTTAGCTCTAAATCATTGGCCTTAATACCTGGGCAGATAAATAGGAGGCAGCAAGAAGGCTAAGTAGGTAAGGCACTTGAGTTTGAACCCTGGAACCCACACAGTGGACAGCAGACTACAGCAAGCTGTCCTCTAACTTGCAAACATGATGGTGTGTGTGTGTGTGTGTGTGTGTGTGTGTGTGTGTGTGTGTGTGTAAGTGTAAAAAAAAGGGTAAAAGAATGTTGAAAGTGACAGGCCATCTTTACAAAATATGGTTACAGCAACTTATTAATATTTACCAAGTAAATTTCCCTTTCAATTTAGAACACTAACAGTTACTCATGCACCTGAAGCACACTACAGCTCTACTCACAAATTAGTGTTTCCTAAACTAAATCCGAGCTAGCGGAGAGTGCCGGGATTGAAGCACTTAACAGACCACCACAAGAAGTGAAGAGGAAGCTGCTGCCTTTTACTACAGGGAGTAATGGGCTTATATACCCAAGCCAGGGGATGGGCTAACCATATGAGGAAATCATGCACCACCCACACCTGGGATCAAGGCACAGGCACTGTACACGAGAACAACCTTGTTTGATCAACCTTGAGAGCATGGGAGTTCTACAGCTGGTGGGGAGGAAGAGAGATGTAAGGGACAAGTACTTAAATTTCCCAACATACTAGGATTATAGGTTAAGAGCATGCCTGGCTCTTAGGTGCTGAGGATCCTAATTCAGGAATGGATCTTGGGTCTTCTGCAAGAGTACCAAGTGCTCTTAACTGCTGAGGCATCTGCTCAGCCTGTACAATGATTTTGTGTAGTAAAATAATTATGACACATAAGAAAATCCAATTTTTATTGAGTACATCTTTAGTAACAGCAATACAGTTTCTCAAGAAAAACCTGAGCTGAACCCCTCCAAAACAGAATAAGGCATCTTCCAATACTGGCAAGCTAGACCCCACACATCTATAATTTTATACTCCCCTTTAAAAGAATTTTCAAGATACAAAAGCAACTGAAAGATATTCACATTATTATAAAAGCAGTTTAAAGGCAGTGATGTCTACACAGCATGGTTCATCACGATACCTTCCTGTAGTTTCGAACAACTCTACTCAGCACACTAATAGACTCATGCAAAACGCCTGGCAGAATAAACACCTGCAAGTGATTCCAGATTCTGAATTCCAGCACACAGACCTGATCCAGTGCTCACTGACACCTCTTATGCAGATCTCAGATGTCAATGGTAATTCATGAGATAAAAAGGCATGTTCTGCTCAATTCCAAATGGACAACAGTCTACAGCAATGCTACAAGCTATGGATTATTTTTAAAACATTTCAATATTCCCTGAAAAGGTTTTATACAAAAGTTGAAAACTATTATATTAAAAAAAATCCACTTGTTACATTTCAAATGGAAGTATTTCTACTGAACTATCACAGTGAAACAACTGAGTTTTTAAATGGCATGTAGTTATCACATTCTCTGAAATGAACTTTTAGGAGCTGTCATGGTGTGCTCTATGTGTGAATATGCTCTCACAGCTCAACTGCATACATAATCTACACAGGTCAAAGGCTCCAATCAGCTCTCAAGTTTGGAAGTAAATATCTGGCATTCACAGTATTATTGAAAGAAATTCCCTACAAAGCTCCCCAATTGTTTGAAATGTCAATTTATAGAAAAGTCTAAAGGAAATCCCAGTAGATAACTCGCAATTACTTTGGGATGAGGTGACAAGTTTTTAAAAGTAAACTGTCACTGATATGTAATCAACTGTAGATTGCCCAGGTCAATATACTATAATATGTTTTCTCATAATTTTCTAATTACTATATATTTGAGTAACATATACTTTTAGCTTTTTTTTTTTTTTTTTTTTTTTTTTTGGCTTTTTTCGATAAGATTTCAATAAATGCCATAATGGCCTTGAATGTACCTTAGTTTCCCAAGTGTTGGGTAACAGGTCATGTGCTAGCATGCCCAGACACTGTCTTACTGTCTTAATCTATATAACTTAGTTTTTTAAATCTAGTTTTATCTTCAATGAATTTAAAAACAACAAACATCAGAACAAGTTAGCCAGGCTTTAGGAAACAAAGAGGGCTGCTTTGGCAATATAGAAAAAGATGACTACTGTGATACTAGTCATCTTAGTCTGCCTCCATTAAATATTAAAATGTAGTAAGGCAATTATTACTTAAGACGCTTGAAATTACACCTAATAAATGGATAACTGGCCCCATACCTGACATATTGCACACTTTATTTTTCTTCTCTATTTATTCCAAGAAACCAAAAACATTGCTTGAAAAGGCATATCAACTGTCTTTCTAGAAAGATCTCAGAGGCTTGACTGTGCCTGCACTATGTGTTACTATGTAAGCAACTAAAAAGGAGAATGAGTACTCTTAGGTTTTTTAGATTATTGTATGTGTTTTGCCTGTGTGTATGTATGTATATGGTGTCCACAGAGGTCAGAAGAGGGTGCTGGATGCCTTGGAATTGGAGTTACAGATAACTGTGGGCCACCACATGAGTGCTGGGAACAAGTGCTCGTAACCACTGAGCCCACTCTCTGTCCTGACAATGAATATTCTTTAAGGTTTTGCTCTTGTTTCTACCATCTTCTGTTCTCCTGAATCCACTCAAAAAAGTTCAACCGGAAGTATCCCCAATGAGGCAGGGTAGTGACTCCCCTACTGGCCTCCCATTACCAGTGCTAGTGAAAGTGATACAGAAAAGTTAGACACAATGAAGCAGTTCCCTTCACACAGACTTTCCTTGGAGATGCTGAGGGACACTGAAACAGAAACTGGGACCCAGGGAGAGAACAAAGAATGTTGGACAACTACTACTAAAATACCAGTGAATAACGTCACCAAGAAACATGTCTGATACCAATAAACAAGGTTGGCTCTGCTGTCTCCACCCATAAGGCACGAGTCCTGGCTGTGTTGGTATAAGGCAAGCATTGACCTAGGCAGGGAGACCCCATGTTTCCACACCATTACCTCCATTTCTACATCCCCACTGTCATTCCATCTTTCCTCTTACTCAGCCTTTCCTGATTCTTTTACCCCTCGTTCTTCTTTCCTTCCCTTTTCCTTCACCATTCATTTCCATCATCCTTCTCTTCTCTACTTTCTCTTCCTTAAAGTATGATCCTTCCGCATACCATCAGCAAATCTACACTGGAGGACAAGTTACTCAACCTCAGCAGCTGGCCCTCCGTAAACCAGCCCCCATCAAGACTGGTATGGCTACAGGGCTACAGAAGTTCCTGCAGTCACCCCTGCCAAGCTTCCCTTCTTAGGCACTATGTACAATCAGTGTGCCCCCTCAAGCCTAAGAAGGAGGGAATCCAGGACCCCAACCTGTACTTATCATTACACTGATATTTGACAGGAGGCAGCTAAGAGCCAGGAGAAAGTTGTGTCCAAGACAAGCAACAGCATTGCTCGCGAGCTCTTCTTCGTAAGGGAAAACTGCATTTCTTAAAATATATTTTCTAGAGGATTTCCAAATTCTTTTCATACAAAAGAAGTATGAATGCATTTTAAGGTCCTTCTATACCACCTCAACCAATCATGCTGAAGCCTATGGAGTCTCCAGCTACTGAAAAAAATAAAATCTTAGGGAACTTACTCATATAAATTCCTCTATCAACTGCAACTGCCTCCTCTATCCAAAAATGGTACTTATAATTTACCAATTATACCAATAGTTGTGACTCTAACTTCAACCTTAAGATGGCAAGTAGTTTCCAGTAGTTCTCAAACTATGTGATAACAGAACCTTCTGAGGAACTCGTTAAAAACAGAATCAGCTTGTCAAAAGCACATTTGCAAGGAAGTCTGTTTAAGGGTTGGCTATGAGATGAAACCAAAGGCCAGCTGCTCCTTTTACTAGGTATGATGTGGTTACTGGAATTACTTATAATCATTGAGACATTCACTGCAAGGACATAAAATGATGCCTGAGACTTTAATATAAGAAAAATAAAGGATGTAAATGTGACAAGATGCTGATAGGTAATAGGTAATGGAGTACTACTGTCTGAAGCTCTCAATTCCTTCCCATTTATTATTATTATTATTATTATTTTTGTAGTGCTGGGTCTTGAGTATGCTAAGTAAACACTCTTACTATTGCTTTCATATAATTTTAATCTCTTCATTTAAAAAAATTACTTCTTTATCTTCATTTAAAAATTAACCTCTTCAAATTAAAAAATTCTTAAAGAGCCCTAGTTACAGTATACATAGGCTATTTGCTTTTAGCAAGCTCACTCAGATTATCAGCCAAACTTCAAAGGAAAGTTTCTCATTTTTCTATCTAACAAGCTAAACTTTAACACAGTTCACAGGTTCTTACTTCATTATGGCATTCTGCCAAGGAACTGTGACTGCTCCTCTCAGTCTATCTGTTCTAGAGTACTGAGTTGGCTAGCAATCCCTGTTCTGGGCACAAAGGGACAAATACTTTTTAATTGTATTTTAAATCTTCTCTCAGAATGTCCCTGGCTGAACTTCAGAAGTTGAAACAACTGCAACGAACACTTCTTTTGAACATTCCCCTGCAGAGGATACATGATCTTCATAAATGAAATGGTTCCTTCATAATTTCCCAAGAGAAAAAGACGATACCCAATAGCAGTAGGTAGGATGAGGCCTGTGCCCAGCATGGCACATGCCGCCCACTCAGTTACATTAAGTGTCATGACCAATAGCACAAGGATTAATGTTTCTCATCCTCCAGATTTTAAAAAGGCAGCTGTCTTCAATGATGTTCAGAACAGGAAATATGCACATTACTCAAATCAAAATGATTTTTCTATAGCTAGATATAAAAATCCTGTTCCTCAGAACTGCCCATTACACTTGTCTAATCTAAATAAGGCTCTGCATTTGCCTCTTCAAAAGGATCCTGGAATGCACTTTGAGGTAGAAGGAAGTGTACATGGGTCACTTTTTAATCTCACAGGCTTATACATTTGGTCCACTGCATTTTCCACTGTCCTGCTAGTGTTGCGATTAAGGTTCTCACACTTCATTATCAGCATGGTCTATTTTGCTTCCAGAATACCCAGTAAAGCTGAAATTTTTCACTTAAGGTGAAATGTCCCCAAATATCTTAGAACTTAGGTTTGGCAAGACAGTTTAAAATATACAAAATAAAAACACTTAACTTTTTTCTCAACACACACACACACACATCACACACAAATACCCACCCCCCGGAGTTTTTATTATTTCCCCTCTTTCTCATACAGCTAATTTTTAAATGTGCAGCTTTCTTAAAAGTCTACAAATAATTTTAAACATGATTGTCACAAGATATTGTAGGAGATGAAATGTATGCGGGTACATAGATTGTCAATGGTTACATTGGTTATATCACATTTCTTAAGAAACAGAACTGTTCTGCTCCTGTAAACTTTTTTCTCACACTTTAAAGTGAGGTTAGTGCTGACATAAAATTATTGCTATACTCACAGCTTGAATGTCTCCACTGTGTGCGAGGTACATTTTCTCCATCCATCCCCCCACTGTTCTTACTTACTTGATTCAAGAGCCAACATAGCTCCCGCCACACTGTTCAATGTTTTCATTAACACTGGAATGACACCAAGTAATGTCACAAAAAATCAGAGATCAACATTGTCTTCTTGCAGGAGCCCAAGGGTTTAACTTATTCTTCACGGCGCGAATATACTGCTCTTTTAACTTCAGGACACGATTACTCTGAAGACAGAAAGACCTCCCTAAATCCATCCCCACTACGATTCCTTCTCATCTCTGATGTGCTACACTCCATCATTTAACTCAGCAGGCACAAAGAGTCACCTCTCCTTTGGTGGCGTGTCATAACGGTTTCTTATGCTTTTCATCAACTGCTTGATAAATACTTTGTATGTTTTCCCACAGTATGTGTGAACTGTCTTCTGTAATTCCAGTTCTAAAGGTTTTAATAAGGAACGGACAGCATCATCTTCAAAAGAACACTAGAAAAGAAATAAGTGGGCAACAATACATACAAAAGTTTAATATTTTCAAAGAAACGTCTGCAATAGGTTAAATAGCAACAACTTCCATTTACCTTTTCACATGAAGTACACACTCAAATATTTTCAAAGAATAAACATAACTATTAGAGAGAGATATATGAGTGAGTGACAGCAAACCTCTGAAGACAGGGAAAACTTCAGAAAGAGGCAATGGAAGGGCAGCCCAAGAATGCATTCAAGGGCAGAAGAGATGCAGACAAACAGGGATAAAATGGCTAGCCCTTGTTAAAGGCATCCAGGAGAAATTAATAAAAGCTAGACTCATTTAAAGCAAAGGGGCCAGCCTTTCCATACACTCCATCCCCATTCTTGAAAGGCTCTCAGTGACAATGCTGATGCTGGCCTAGACATGAACACAATAGCCACGGAGCAGGAAGAGGGAAATGTTTCACTTCCCAAAGAAACTCAGCACTTATTATAGTGTGGCTATGGTTCTCCAGAAGATCCACATGGCACACTGGACCCTAGATCATGGTGATACTGGGTGGTGGTGGTAGATTTAAGAGGTGGGGTCTAATGGAAGAAGTTAAATCACTGGGGACCTTCCTTAAAGGGCACACAGGGCTGTAACCACTCCAGTCCCTTTTCTTCCCTTGCTCTGCTCTGTTCCCACCACGCTGTAATGTTTTACCACAGGTAACGGGACAGGGTGACTATGAACTGAAATGCCTGAAACTGTAAGCAAAAACACAAATTTCCCCATACATCCACTGACAAATCTCAGGCATTTCTTACTATAATGGAAAGTTTGTTAACACACTGCACAGACCCAAGGATAAGCACACATGAGAATTGCTAAATACCACTTACTTTTCACTGGTGCTCTTATTGCACATGAGTGTTTACTAAGTAAATAAGGAAACACACCAGTTAAATACTGACGGTCCTAATAATCTCATGGTGTATTTCTGAGCAGCTTCCATCTAAAATGTACAACTTATAAACCTCCAAGTGATACACTTCAATACACTGTAGAAGTAGAAATAACTTAATATCTTTGACTCAGTGTCTTCAACTATTTTCTATTTAAAAGATGGATGGGTCTTGAAAATAAGAGTATTTTACATCAAAACCTGAAGTTAATGAAAACCGAAATCATAAAGAAACTGAACTTGAAATCTGAGGGAAAAAAAAGAACCAAGACCATCCTGAGGGGTGATTTCACCAAGGGAAAGAAGCCAAAGCCCCAAATCAAGCTGGGACTGACCTAGAAGCTACCTCCCTGCTGGCTTACCTTCAGCCATACTGGATCGTGCAATGCAGACCAATGCAGGTAAATGTTACAACTACTGACCTGCTAGGCAAGATATGCCCACTAGAGCAATGGTGGCATGACTATTATGGGGTAACTAACCAACTGCTTTCTGAGAGGGTCTAAGATTCATGCCATAGGAAAGGATCAACATCTAATACTGGAAAATAAAACCTCTCAGCAGCTACAGTAGGAGAAGTCACAGGCTGTACAAGGAAAACTAACTATTGCTATTCTACTGAGTTGATGCACCTCTCAAACTGCCTTCCTGGGTGTGGTGGCGCACACCTTTGATCCCAGCACTCAAGAGGCAGAGGCAGATGGATCTCTGGGAGTTTGAGGCCAGCTTGGTCTGCATGTAGTGTGAGTTCCTGGACGTCCAAGACTACACAGAGAAACCTTATCTCAAAAAAACAAAACAACAACAAAGACAACGATGTCACCACACTGTGTGACATGCTCTATAGCATGCACAGCTGTGTCCCACAGCATGCATGCTGGCATCTCTTTCTTGGAGGCCTCTTATGTCCTCATCTGACTGTACACCTTGTTCTTACACTGCTGTGCCTGACTGGTCCTTACCTTTCCTAGGTCTCTGTCAAGTGTCATCTCTGAGAAGCCCTTTCCATACAGTACCCAGCACACAAAAAGTCTTGCTGTATGTTAGACTGTCTGCTATGAAGAGGTAAATAAATTGTAAGCCTATGACAATCACAATTAGGCATTTGAGGCATTTTGAAAGAATGCAGTATATCTTAAAAGTATGGAAAACTACTAAAACACAGCAAATCCTGCTGCACACAAGGTATGTGGAAGGCCCAAGACTTCTCTGAAAAGTTGGTCTAGTGTGAGGTAAGTGAGAAAAGGTTAAGCACAGGGAGCACGGAAGCCAAGCAAAGGATGACTCAGAGAACATCTTACAGAGCATCCTGATGTGATTTAGCTTTTAATTTTAAACACTATTTATCTTGTTGGGTAGCCACCATTTAACAGGTAGGCATAACTGTAAGGGCTGCCTGCAGCAGGCACAGCCTGTATCCACAGTTCTGAAATGGCTCATATCCTTAGTCATGTTGTTTGCTGCAGACCCTGATTAGACTTCTCTGAAAGTCATGTAAACACCCTTATGATTTTATAAAGTTACACCCTGATGAATTATAGATAAGAAAAGATAAAACACAGAGAGCACCAGAAAAGGCCAATTAACTTCATTAAACCAAAAAAGGACAAATATAGGCTATAGTTAATAAAGATCTGACACAAACACAACATTCATTTAGTAGTTGAAAAACTACTAAAACTATTAAATTTGAAATATAGAACATATTTCTAAAATTACATGTAATTATCAACTTTAAACTATTACTATATATAAGTCAAGAGAAAAAAAATCAAATAAAGCTAGGAAATTTAATTCTCTAATAACAGACTTTTTTTTTAAATGTTCAAAGGAAACAAATTTCCTTTTTATGAGTACTCAAAGTCCCAGAACCCTAAAAGTATCTTTCTTCATTTTTATCAGTTTCTTATAATCCATAGTAAGGCATTATTAAAATGATAATGATTTCTGAAAGCACATAAGACCTTCTATATGAAAGTGAAAACACTATGCATACAATCAAATTTTCATGAACAAACCTGAAAAAATTCACAAACACATGGAAAGGCCAGCCTACAATGCCAGGAGACCTTGTCTACAACTGCATTTGAGGAATACTGGCGTGCTGAACATGTTTCAACTCACATTAACCAAGCACATATCCACCCTTGCCGCACTACTGCCTATTATATAACTCAGTCAGTGCCTAGCCTCTCCAAACCTGCCTAAAAACTCCCCCTAATTTTTCAGGGCCCACTTCAAATAACCTTTCTAGGCAGGACTGCTAGCCATTCTTAGTCCAAGTGCACATGTAATTATAGTTCAGTGTTAATGATTCTGCTGCTATCAATGAAGATTTATACACAACCCAAACTCAAGTCACTAGTAAATAATGAGAACCTAGCAAACAGGCAGCAAGTGGGGGCACCTTCCAAGGACAGCCAAGATAGAACTTCATTTTACCCCATACTTCTCTCCCACCCGTTCTATTCTTCTGGAGAACCTAATACAGAAGCATAAATATACCTAACATCTAGGGTCCATTAAAGAAAACAAAGTACCTCTGACAGATGGCTACCTACAGGGCTACCCAAGCAAAGGATTAAATAAACCTGGACTATTTTGTTGAAGCAGAAGTAAAAAGTTGGTCTAAAAAATGATCAGAACATGTCAAAGTGTACAAGAAGTAGCCAAAGAGAAGCCCCCGATGGCCAAATCAGAAACACCTTCAGCATCAACACACTGGGAAGAAATGTAAATCACAGGAGGGATAAGAACCCCCAGATGTTCATAGTGATTACACAATGCTGGATCCCAGTGTGAACTGCGGACACAGCATCACAACTATGAGAGGAGGCTACGCTAGTGGAAAGCTTTAAGATTAAGAACACATGAAAAATAGACCTGAGTATTATCTATACAATGGTTAATAAAGAAACATCCTTAATCTTACTAAAAAACAATTGCAGGTTTAAGGGGTCAAGAAGAATTATATACAATTCACATTCAGAAATGTATATAGGGAGAACCCAAGCTAAACCAAAGTCAAATTTTGGGAGTTGATGACTTTATACTAAAAGATAAAAAAATTCTTCAGACTCTATTTGCAATCTTCATAATATTATAAATTTTAAGTGACAACTTCAGGGGAGCAAACCTTACATTTCTTAGTGCTTCATACATAGCTCTGAATGCCGGCTGCTTGTCATCATGGTAAACACCTCTGTTTCCATGAAGAATGAAGACTCCTTCCTCTTCTGCTTCTCGGCAGTTGCTTCCATAGATACAATGATCTGGTCGATAATTCCATTGACATGGAAAAACATAAAGGCTTTCTACAATGAAGAAAAGCCCAATAACAGGAAAGATATGAAGCACAAAATAACAGAACACTTGCAAACAGTTTAGCTTTAAAAAAAATTATACTTGATTATTTAGATTTCTCCCAATAAAATTAATATTCAAGTCTTATTCTGCCTCAAAAGAAAATACTGATAACCATTAATATAAGCAATATAATTGTTTGCTGTGGTCCCAAAGACTGAACTGAGGGCACTGTAGGTACTTATCAAGCACTCCCCCAGTGAGTGAGACACTATTTCTTGCTTTCTGATTTTTAATCCAATTGTCTTAGAAATGCAAAGAATTAAAGGAATTTAGATGATTACCTGGATTATGAAAAAACATGATATTTAACAGATCTTGATCACCCCATGTGATGTTCAGTTTGTATTTTTTAAGCAGTGGCATAAGTATGTCACCCCATTGCAGCCGTGCAGTTGTCATATCATTCTATGGATAAAACATTGGAGTTTTAGCATTCAGGGTTAAGTATCAGCATGACAGCTCCCATTCTTCCATTTGAAACCATTCAAAGTCACAAAGAGAAAGAAAACCCCTTTGCTATAAAACCATGTGTCATTTATTACCCTGTGAGGAGGGCCGCCAGCATGAAAAGGGAAGGCAGCACAGAAGGTAAAAACAGCACTGATAAAACTGAGACAAGCAAAAGACAAGGAAAGGCAAGGAGGTAGACAGTTCAACCTCATCTTCACTGTAAAGTAAGGACTATGAAAAGTGGGTTTTGTTTTAGTTTTTTTTTGGGGGGGGGGGCGAGGTTTTGCTCTGTAGTCCCAGACTATCCTCAAACTCATTCATGATCTTCCCACCTCCGCCTCTAAAATGCTAAGATTACAAACTGCACCATCACACCCACTTTGAAAGTTCATAGCTTGGCAAGGCAAGGTTGCTGAGGACATCACTGGTAAATCTGTTCATACCTCACCAGGAAAAAAATTACATAGCAACCCAAACTGAGGTGTTCACTGAGGGTCTTATAATGTATCCCCCTCAGACAGCGAGGGATACTACCAAAAGTACACAAAATTCATTACATTTAATTTATTTGCTCTTTATTTCTTACCCACGCCAATCTATTTTTGTTAAGCTTGTTGCTTTTTTCTTTCTTGAACACACATTCTTATGTAATACAGGCTGGCCTCAAACTTGTGGCCTAAACCTCTTCCTTCTCTTTGTCTCCCAAATGCTGGGGAAACACAGTTTTTTAGTGTTAAAACTTTACTTGTATTTTATTTATTCATTTCCAATAAATTCTAATTATAAAAGAAAACATGGTCCTGATTAAAAAAAAAAAAAAAAACATACAGATGCCAGACACTGTACTGAGTACTTCTTACCACACTCCATCAGGTTCAAGTTCAACTCTAAAACAGACACATAGATACTAAACCCGAGACCATTTTAAGGACACATTCTTCATCATAAAATACACATGTACATGAATACACATATGTGTGCACATAATATACAAATGTGTATACATATATACTATATAAAAATATATATACAAATTATATTAAAAATATTTTCAAGAAGCTGGGGAAATGGCTCAGCATGTAAGAGCGCTTGCTGCTCAAGGATGGGAACTTTAGTTCAGATCCTCAGTATCAATGTAAAAAGGCAACACCCACAGTGCTGGGCAGGGGCAGGAAACAGGAAGATCACTTAGGTTTGCCAGCCACCATCCTAGCCAAGGACCAGTGAGATCCTGACTCAAAAGATAGGTGGAGAGTGACAGAGCAGAATGCCTGCTATCTTATGGCTGTCCGCTAAGCATAAGAGCCTTCATCTTCAGAGTAGCTGTGATCATTTGCAATAGACTGTCACTGTCATCCTCATCACTGTCCATGTCCATCATAGAACAGAAGACAGGAACTTCTGAAATTTCCTCTGCTCACTCCCTCACTTCTGAGCCATTTATATGTAACTGTCTTAACTGCACCCAAACTTGTGGTCTTGGAAGGTCTTAACGTATACAGGAAGTGGAAGGTTAATTAAAGGGGGACTCCCATATGTGTAACTATGACAAAGTTGTCATCTATGCTGGGTGAGACTTTCTGGTAGGAGTCATCCACTTTCTGCTAAAAACAAACAAGCTCTACAACTACGCTCAATAAGAAAGCAAAATAAATTCTGGTTCCCCAAGTTTCATTTTGGTGACATCATTGTGCTGTGGTTTGTCATCAGAGTCATTTTAAGAAAGAGGTGGACATTTATCTCCCCAGAAAAAAAAGTTCCTGATAAAAACAAAAAATAAACCTTGTACTCATTAGGTAGGGAAAAAAAACCAAACAGATCAAAACACCTTCCACAATATAACACATAGTATAGTAAGTACAGTATAGAGTACATACCAGAAAAGAACTCAGATCTTGAGCTCATCATTTTCTAAAAAGGGAAAGATGTGAGTGTGATTGTGCATACCTATAATCCCAGTACTTGGGAAACTGAGGCAGGAGGATTATTGGAAATCTGAAGCCACCCCTAAGCCACAGAGACCCTGTCTCAAAAAAGAAAAATGCTGGAGAGATGGTTTGGTCATTAACACAACCAAAAAGAGAAAGTACTGGATAGATGGCTTAGTGGGTAACATTTGATAGTCACACAAGTGTATAGACCAGATTTTACATCCCCAGGAGGCAGACAAAAATACTATAATCTCAGCATTTGGGAGCACAGAGGACCACCAATGGGACAAGGAAGTCTGGCCATAGACTTCTAGTGAGCTCCCAGAAAGACAATAAACATCAACTTTATGTCTTTGCACAAATGTGCACGCATACATGCAAACACAGGTCATGTACATATATCACACATGCATACACATGTAAGAAAAACAAAGATTCAACATTGCAACTATCAGGACACAAAACCCATGAATATATTAACAGCTTAACCAACATAGTATCACTGCTTACCAAGCAGGGAGAGATACAAAGAACAAAAAAAGCCTTTTCACTGTTTTAATTTTTTAAATGTTACTATAATGTGGCAGATTGGAACTGTTCAATCATAATGGCAAGAACAGGGTGTCAGCCATACAATTTAAATATGACCTTTATTACAGCATGATACAGCATTCATGGATTTGTATGGGACAATCTGGAAGTGACTGTAAGTCAAGTGGTAAAGATCTAAACTTTATGATATATGCCCAAAGTTACTGATTGGGGGGAGATTACCTGGGAGGGGGAGGTTACCAAGCAAAACAAAAAAATTATGTAGAAAATATACTTGTGAAAATATATTTTAAAAATCACTAAATTCTATAGGACCACCTGAGCAAGCTCAAGTATAATACTGAGGAATGATAGGCTTGTTCATCAGCAGAACAGAGCTGTATGAACAGTCACAGTGGATGCAGTCAATTGTACTCACTCAGTTACACATGGTCAATCCACTCCTCCTTTGTAAAGCCAATAGTGCACAAAACAAAAACATTTCACCAGGCTAGAGGAATGGCTCAGCAAATAAGAGCATTTGCTGTCATGCAGAGGACTGGAGTTCAATTGCCAGCATCTTACAACTATAGCCCACAGGGATCTGAGAGCCTTCTGGCCTATACAAACATGGTGTACTCATAGTCAGGAACAAACATAAATAAAAATATAAATAGACCTCTTTTTTAAAAAAAGGGGAAAAAATGAAAGTTTAGGAATTATTTAATCCCCCATATCCACAACTCTATCTAACTAAGACATACCAGAAAGAAAAAGGGAAAGAGACAGCATCTACTCAAGTGGTTGAGAGTTAACTTTAAGTAAATAAAAGATAAATTAAGAGCAGTAATGAACCTGAACTATATAGCCCCATTTTAAAAATCAAAGTGTTAAATTATTTCCATTATTTTTTTTTTGCAATACTAAATTCATAACTCTACAAGGATCAAATACAGCCATGAGAAGTCCCATAATTCTTAGCAGATAATCTTATAGCACCATCTTCTGGCATGACATTACCAAGCACAGGCTAACACTCAGAACAGTGATCATGATGTTATTCTGGCCCCACATAGGACACCTTTATGGTCCATGAAAAGGAAGCATTCAAATCATAAGCGCAAACTAAATGCAATGTTCACTGTTGAGCAAGAGCAGATGCCAGCTGTGATGGCCCATCTCAGTGTCACATTAACTACATCGGGAATTAACTAAAACCCAAGCAGTTAGGCACCCCTGTGAGGGATTTTTTCCTAATTAAATCATTTAAAGTGGGAAGACCTGTCCTTTAATGGTATCTTTTGTGTAGTGACATATTATTTATGATTTATTAAAACTTGCCTAAGGAATCAGAAAGCAAAGCCAACCATAATCCTTAGAAGCCAGGCACAAAACTTTAATCCAGCATTCAGAAGCTAGGAGGTGGTGGTACAAACCTTTAATCCTAAGACTCATGATTAAGAGATAGATGGATCTCTGTGAGTTCAAGGCCACACAGATCTACCCAAAAGTAAATCAGTCTAAAAGTGAATTCCAGCTCACACCTTTAATCTCAACATTAGGTCAGTATATAAGACAGAAGCAAGGTCTCAGAGGCATTCTTTCTCCAGCCTCACTGAGGAGAGGCAGCAGTTTGAGACTTGGTGAAGAGCTTGTTCGTGATCAGCCCTTTCAGCCTGAGCTAAAGGTGAGAGCTAGTGGCAGGCTGCTTTGCTTTTCTGATATTCCGTTTTAAAGCTTGAACCCCAATATATGGGTCATTTATTTTTCATGTTCCATTTTAGAGGTGGGAAGATCCACCTTTTATCTGGGACACAGCCTCTGATGGCAGCCTATATAAAGGACATGGAGGAAGGAAGCTCTTTGCCTTTTGCCTGCTTCCCTGATTCTTGATGGCAAGTCCATTCCTTCACTGGCATTAGAGCCTACTTCTTCAGGATCCTAACACACAATGAAGACCAGCTGACACATGTAGCCTTCTGTTGGTAGCCAGCCACTGTTAGACTAGCAGGGCCACATCCTATAAACTATTCCAATAAATACCATGTATGTATGTGTGACGCGTGCATGCGCACACGCATGTGTGTGTGTGCATTATACATTAAATGAAAATACAGGGTTTTTTCCATTCTATCAGTTCCGTTCCTCTAGAGAAGACTGATTGCATTTATTTAGTTCTAGGAGACAAATTGAATTGACAGCTCAGGTCTTTGTAAAGACTCAGGAAAGTTTACCTGATGAATAGAATATAAAGTGTAATGCACACTATAGAGTGTATGTGTGTGTCTGTGTGTGTCCAGTGCCCTTGGAAACCAGAAAAGGCATCAGACCCCTGAATTGGAATTAACAATTGTGAGCTGCTTGCCACAGATGTTGGAGACAGAATTTGGGTTCTCCATGAGAGTAGTAGGTACACTTAGCAACTGAGCCATCTCTCCAGCCCCAAATCTACGTATGGCTGTTTTTAAAGATCTGGGTGTGTGTGTGTGTGTGTGTGCGCGCGCGCGCGCGCGCGTGTGTGTGCGCGCGCATGTGTGCGTGTGTGCGCATGTGTGCGTGCGTGCGTGCGCGCGCGCAAAAGCCAGAAGAGGGCCTCGGATCCCCTGGAGCTGGAGTTACAGGCAGTAGTGAGCTGCCTAATGTGGATGATAAAAACTCATCACTGTCTAGTGTAAGAGTTCTTAGTCACAGCATCCCTCCAGCCCTTAGTCTAGGTCTTAACAAAAACAAATGATTTCAGGAAAAGGGGAAACTGCAATCAACTGCCTACATCATCAAGTTACCTTAAAATACTTCCTTCTCATCCGTGTCATGTTCATGAGCATCACTCCAGAGTTTACCCCAGTCTTCCCATAGTAAGGATGCCGAGCAAAACGATTATACCATCCTATTCGAGGCTCCTCATGTTCTGGTGCCATCGCAGCAATTTGTGTTGAATTAAATTTCTTTAGTAATGACCAAATATCATCGACAGGTCGTAAGAAAAGGATATCAGTGTCAACATACAGCAGTGAATCAACTTCTTTCAGGATTAACTATAAGAAGAGATATTTAAATAATTAGTTATAAATGCACCTACTCAATAATAGCACAGAAACAGAAATTACACCTAATAAGCCAATTTACAAGATTTTTAAGGAAATTTTCTGAAATTTGACATTTTTGACAAATATAAGTATACTTTATAAATGTTTACACAAACTTCTAGAAAAGCTAGAAAAACAAACCCTAGTTAAAAACCTCAACACTTAACAGTTTAAAAAAATTATATATATATATGAGAGAAAGGTCAGGAGAAAACTGATTTTCAAGATACAAACCGCACTAACTCAAAGTGGATTGACACACTGAGCCTTAACACCAGGTAATACAGATACAAAGTGACATAAAAGAAGGTCTCCCAGACCCACGCCCTCTGCCTGAACACTGGACTGCATCACTCCAGCGCCCACTGCGTCATCACTCCAGCGCCCACTGCGTCATCACTCCAGCGCCCACTGCGTCATCACTCCAGCGCCTACTGCGTCATCACTCCAGCGCCCACTGCGTCATCACTCCAGCGCCCACTGCGTCATCACTTCAGCACCCACTGAATCACGTCAGCATCCACTGAATCACGTCAGCACCCACTGCATCATCACTTCAGCACCCACTGCATCATCACTTCAGCACCCACTCTTAAGTGCAAACTGAGCCCAAACTATCTGTTGCAGTCTATGCTCATTTCTATACACTCCATCAACATATCAAAACCACACACTTAGAAAGAACAAAGATAGGAAGCAGACTTTCATGTTAAAACAGACTGGCTCTTGTACTTTTTAAAGTTGTAAATCTCGAGTTCCTTCCACAGAGATTTTCAAAGTTTTCATTTTTCCTTACAAACTTTTAAAATATGACTGTTGCAAATTTAAATTTGCTGCCTATCCTGGTATATCTATAAAACCCAATGATTAGGTTAACCTAGCAGAAGTATCCAACCTTTTGGTATTTGCAACATAATATCAACCACAAAGTTCACACACTTTATACAAAAATAAATAGTCTCATACTGTTCTATGCAAGTTTACAACTTTGCAATGGCTGCATTCACAGCTATCCCCTGTGGGTGGTAGGGCTGGAATAAGTAAGTTTACAACTTTTAAAATGGCTGTATTCATAGCTAAGCCTTACTAATATAGGATGTTCCTGAAACATTTTAGTTAAGGCACAATGTGAACTAGACTTGATCCTCATTCTGCTACTCTGTAAATTTGTTACCTTTCCTGCAACAGAGTTGAGACATTGCCTCACTGGGCAGGTAGGCTGAAATTCCCATTCCTCTCACTTTGCTGTAGTCTAATTTAGTAGCAGATAGGGAAAATAACTGATACTGATGGCTGAGCCTGAATGGGAAAGGTCCCCTTCCCCCTCCAGGTAAAGGAGGTAAGCAAGGTGGTATCTCTGCACCATCAGAAACAGGATGGGAATTGCTTTTAGGAGTGTTACTGCGTTTTGTTTTGCTTTTGAATCTTGTTATAGAATCCTAGCTGGCTCTGTGTGATTGCTAATCTCAGTTGTCCACTTGACTGCATCTGGAATCAACTAAAACCCAAGCTAGGCACACTTGTGAGGGAGTTTTCTTGACTGGAGCATCTGAGGTTGGAAGGCTCACTGTAAATCTGAGCCACACCTTCTGATGGCAATCTACATAAAAGGACACATAAGGAAGTTTTTGTTTTTTGACTGCTTGCACTCTCTCTTTTTGGCAAACTCATCTATTCTGCTGTGGAGGCATTTCTTTACTGGTATTAGAGCCTACTTCCTTGGGATTCTAATGCAGGCTGAAGACCCGCTGAGAAACTAACCATACTCACATGTTAAACAGCTGTAACACTGCAATAACTCAATTCATACTAAGCCAGATCTGGTGATGCACACCTTCAATCCCAGCACTCAGGAGGCTGGGGCAGGTAGATCCCTGAGTTCAAGACTAGCCAGGTCTACATACTGAGTTCCAGAACAACCAGGACTAATATTGAGACCCTGTCTAAAAACAACAATAATAATAATATTAATAACAACAATAGTTACGTTCATATTAAAAGCTTAAGTCTAAACATCTTAGGTTTTTCCTCATTTCTGTGTTTTAACAGCAGAAGGGAAAATTGAGAAAGATTCAAAGACCCAAATTGTTGAAGCATAGCCTCAGAGATCTCTGGTGAAGTCAATCGATCAGAACCCTAATGTGAAAGCTGGCCTTGTGACCCAGCAAACACAGAAGGCTGAGGCAGGAGGATTACCTCCAGTTTGAGACCAGTCTAAGTTGCAGGAGACCATCTCAAAACAAACAAAAAACTCAAACAACTGGGCTGGAAAGATGACTCATTGGTCAAGACTGCTTCCTGCTCTTCCAGAGGGTCTGAGTTCAGTTCCCAGCATCCACATCTAGCAAGTCACAACCACCTGTAACTCTAGCTCCAGGGGATCCAATGTCCTCTTCTGACCTCTAAAGGGACCCACATGTACACATACACACATATGCATGTGCATACATAAATAAAAAACAATAAACATTAAGGAAATACTAAAATAAAAATAATCACAACTAAAATTTATAATTGATATACTTGGGCATGTTTTGACCAAACAGCAGCAGCAACTGAAGATTCTACCCTATAATTCATATATTTTCCAGGAACTTATGCCCTTTCTTCCTTCTTTCCTTTTTTATTTTTATTTATTTTATTTTTTTTTTTTATTTATTTAAACAAGGTCTATTTTGTAGCTCTGTCCTAATCTCTCTAGGTAGACCAAGCTGGCCTTGAAACCCCAAAGATTCCTCCTGCCCCACCTCAAATGCTGGAATCAAAGGTGTGCATGACTCCTCCTGGCAGAATTTAACACTTTTAACTTCAGCATTTGCACTACCATAAGCATCTTATTATTTATTTTAAATGAAGCAAATATTTTGTTTGTTTACTGGTTTTTGAGACAGGGTTTTTCTGTAGCCCTGGCTGTCCTGGACCTCATTTGATAGACCAGGCTGGCCCTGAACTCAAAAGATGCACAGCCTCTGCCTCCCAAGTGCTGGGATTAAAAGTGTGCACCATTGCTGCCCAGCTACTACATAGTAGTTTATCACCCAAGGTCATCAAAGAAGAGCTCTAGTAAGAAAATGCCTCCCACAACTCTGAGGTCTCCTGCCTTACAGCTATAGAACTAATCCAAGGACCACTTAGGAAAAGGAACTAACTAGGCCTAAGACAGAAATGTCATCGGTGACTTCCCAAGCTGTGCATGCAACAGAGGCCTCCAGGTCACACTCCCTACTGAGACCTGTCCAGCATTCCATTCCATGGTTAAAACAGTTCACAGCAACTAAGTGTAAGCCATTTTTGGAGATCAGTATGGCAGTTCCTCAGGAAAATGGGAATTCCCCCCTGTTAGGTATATACCCAAATAATCCACACATCCATGCAACAAGACATGTGCTCAACTATGTTCACAGCAGCACTATTTGTAATAGCAAGAACCTGGAAGCAACCTAGATGCCCCTCAACTGAAGAATGAATAAAGAAGATGTGGCACATCTACACAATGGAATACTACTCTGCGGGGAAAAAAAAAATGGAATCTTGAAATTTGCAGGCAAGTTGGATGGAACTTGAAGAAACCATCCTGAATGAGGTAACCCAGTCACAAAAAGAGGAACATGGTATGTACTCGCCCATATATGGATTTTATGGATCACCAGCCCATAATTCACACCGCCAGAGAAACTAGGATACAAGGAAGATTCTAAGAGATTCATATAAGATCCCTCAAAGAAGGGGAAAGGGACAAGATCTCCAGAGCATATTGGGGGGGGGGGCAGTGAGTAGAGAGGGAACTAGGAGAAAGAGAAGGGGAGGAGAGGAAAGCATGTGAGACTAGGAAGATTCAGTCAGGGGAGGAATAGATGAGGAGAGAGAGAGAGAGAATAAAAGAGGGAGCCATTATAGGTTTGAAGAGAAAACTGAACCTAGAGAAATGTCCAGAGACCTGCAAGACTGATCCCAACTGACAATCTGAGCAACAGTGGAAAGGCTACCATAAATGCCCTTCCCTGATAATGAGATCGATGACTAACTTATCCACTATCATGGAGCCCTCATCTAGTAGCTGATGGAAACAGAAGCAAACACCCACAACTAAACACTAAGCCTAACTGGAATCCAGGGGCAGAGATGGAGGACAAGACCAGGCTGCAGAAACACATAGAGACAGTTTACCTGAACGAGGAAGAGCTAACAGGCCCCCAGACTGATAGCTGGGAATCCAGCATGGGACTGACTCAAACCCCCTGAACATGGGTCTCAGCTAGAAAGCCTGAGCAGTCTAAGGGAACCAGGATGTATTCCTGGTGCACAAAAGGACTTTGGGGGCACATTCCGCATGGAGGGATACTCCCTTAACCTAGAGACCGGAGGGAGGGCCTAGTTCCTACTCAAAATGACTTGACAGATTTAGATGCTCAAGCCAGGACTTGTGCCTCTCTTCCTGTTGCCTTCAACCCAGAGTAGAACTCTGAGCTTCCTGTCCAGCACCAGGTCTGCCTGTGTGCTGCCATGCCTCCACCATGATGACAATGGACTAGGCCTCTGAACTGTAAGCCAGACCAATTAAATGCTTTCTTTTGTAAGAGTTGCGTGGTCATGGTGTCTCCTCACAGCAATAGAAACCCTCACTATGGCATCATCTGTGGAAGTTAAGTTTCAAATTTAAGAGAGAAAAAGGAAAGCAGCTCACCGGCAAAAACAGCCTCTGGGAAGCACATGGCTTAAAGAGTTTCTTCCACTCCACAGCGCTGTCACTCGGGAAGGTGATGGGGTACAAAGTATAGTTAAATCTTTGTAGAAATGACCAGCTGTCAAGCTAAGAATATAAAAAGGAAAAAAGTTAAAAAAAAAAAACAAACCAAGGTAGATTAGTCTTACTTTCAACCTTCTCTGTAACATCGTAAACCAAGAGCTACAAACAAAAATGCTAAAACTTAAAACCATATTTTATATTACACAGTTAACAGATTCTTTTCCATTACTCTCTTTGTTTCTATTTCAAACCTAAAAATCTACCATCAAGATCTAAGGCACGGTGATTTTTTTTTTTTTTTTTTTTTTTTTTTTACGTCAGTGTTCAGGGTTACTACCATAGATCAGTCCATAAAGCAAAGTGAAAATCTTGAGTTCAGACCTGTTATAAGTAGTTTTTTCCTGCCGACCTGGGCCCAGAGCCGTGCCAGCCCCAAATAACACACAGAGACTCTGTATTTTATATAAATGCTGTTGGCCTGTTACTAGTTTCTTATCAGCTAGCTCTGCCTTAATTATTATCCCATTTCTATTAATCTAAGTACTTTCACGTGGTCTCATCTTAACAGAGAGAGGGGCCAGTGTTCTGCTCTCTCCAGTCTCTATATGCTGACTCCTCCCTACTACTTCCTAGAATCCTCCTTGTCTCCTAGTCCCACCTATCTTGCTTTCCTATTGACCAACAGTGCTTTATTCATTAACCAGTATGAGAAACATATTTACAGAATGACATCTTCCATCACAGACCCCTAGCCAGTGCCACACCAGACTGTCTAAAAAAGGTGAATTCCAGGCCAACCAGAAAATCCTACCTCAAAAAGTGACTGAGAATGTACAGATATGATTGCCTTTCATTTTACCAATGTGAATTTTCTCAATCCTAAACAAATTAAAGTCAGAAAAATTATACTTCATTTATTATCATTGTACATATGATTTTAAAATGTTTATATTAAGTATCAGATTAATACAACACCACTTTGGTTCACTTATGTAAAGTTAAGTGTGTCCTGGTATTCCAATAAACTATCCTAATAAATACCCAGGGTCAATTTTAAAAAACCATTAGAGACCCAAAACACATTTTTAAAAAAATCTACAATGAGTACTCCTCTTTAATGTCCTGAACTCACTTCAAAACACTGACTTGGTCCAGACTCAGTTAAATATACCACTGCTGCTTCAACACGGTAGCCTCCCAACAGGCTTTAGGCTACTGAACTGTAAAACAAGGAGCAGGCACTCTCCAGAGGCAATCCCAGGTCCCTGCCTCAGCCTCCTGATTAACTGCCAACAGGCCCATCTGTAGAACTATTGGTTCAAATTACCCAAAGAACAAATACAAATGATGGGGGTGGGGAGTATAGTTTACACCAACAGAAATGACCAGGGGGGATGGGGTATAGTTTACACCAGTCTGAAAATCTCCCTTTGAATTACAACTGTATTCAAGTACTTATGAAAGCATAAGCATCTTCCAACATAGTTTAAGAATGCTTTTGCTGCAACACCCTGCTTTGGTGTCATGTTAATTATTTTAAAAGAACAGCAATTTCATTTTCCTTTTCAACTTACAGATCACTTAAGGATCTTTTCAATACTAACTTCAAAATGAAGCCTTTGACATTTTTCATTCAATATTGGAATTTTTGAAATTTGGGCCATCATGTACCCATTATTCTTTCATCAAAATCATAACCAAATGTTTAACTTGAAAAGATAGTATAGAGCTGGGTGCAGTACTCGGGCGTATGTAATCCCTGCACTCAAGAAACTGGAACTGGGGATACGGGGGATCAACAGGAGTTAAAGGACAGCTTGAATTACACAGTTGAGACCCTACCTCAAAACAATAAAACATGAACAAATTAGACTTTAAGAAACAATCTAGATAAAGAGAATATGATAAAATATAAAAAAAGAAAACCCAAAAATGACAAAATATTTTAAACTGTTAGTAAACCTTTTTTACCTCTCAATTTTTGATTCTTGGCCTTGTGATAGGAACATACCACTTAATGCAAATTAGGGTTTGTCCCCAGGCTCCCCAGTCCTCTATATTCCTTATACTCTGAAATAAAGTTGAGCTGATTCAACAAAATCTGCTTCCTGGAGGGCTATCTTTGGCTGCTCATGGGCTGCCAAAGCTTTCTGCTGCCCCATCTGCCTCTTTCCCCTCTAGAACTGGTAGCCAATGGGCAGACGGGGAAAGATGGATACCCCAACTTTACAAAAAACTTTGGGTGACTGTCTAGGCAGTGAGATATTTCTGTCAATTCTAGAGTTTATACATTATCCTTCTGAGGTCTTTGATGAAGAAGTTGAAGACAGATAGTTATGATTATGGTTTTCCTTAATTATGATAAAAGGTTAGTTATACATAAAACTTTAGACTCACAAAGACAGGATAGATGATAAAACATTTTCTTTAAATTTTGCCAAATGTTAGTGAACTAAATAGTGTTAAATCCAGTTTGATAACTGTTTTGCTATTTATAATTTTACTATGTTAAAGTTAAAACCTTTCTTTTTATTTAGACAGAAAAGAGGAGATAATGGGGGATGCCCTTCTATATTATATGTTTCTCTTATTGGTTGATAAATAAAACACCAATTGGCCAGACTGAAAGTATAGGTGAGGGTACAAGATGAGGAGAACTCTGGGGAGAGGACACAGAGCGGACCCACCAGGGAGCTGCCGTATTGCTACTGAAGAAGTGACAGGTCCAGACATCCTCCCGTAAGAGAAAACCACATGGAAATACTTAGATTAATAAAAATAGGTTAATAATTAAGAGAGAGCTAGCCAGCCAATAAGAAGCCCGAGCCATCGGCCAAACAATTTATAATATTCCTCTGTATTTATTTGGGGCTAAATGGCTGTGGCACCAGGAGGAACTGACCCCCACATAGCAGCTTGAAAGCTAGACTTAGCAGAGAGGTGAGTGGGGTGAGATGGGATGGGGACATGGCACAAGTGTCATCTCCCCTCCCCTCCCCAAGAACATGGCTGGGAGATGCAGGTCATCTTCCTTTGCATATAAGATTTGTCTTCTCTTTGAAATGTTCCTCATGGACATTTGTTGTTAAGCAGGTTACAAGGCTGCCCTGAGTGGATAGTCTACTTTCAAATATAACAACTAGCTATGATCAAATAACTAACTCATACCAAAATTAGAGGAAATGCCACAACTATTAATGCAAAGTGCCCTTGAAGGAAAAAAAAAAGCATTTTTCCTTCCTCACTTTTCTCTTCATATTGGATACAATATGGTTGTGATGGCCATTTTAAACCATGTGGCAGTCTTATATTGAAAATGGCCTGACCATAGCCAGAAAAAAATAAGAGCCCCTCCTTAGAGATGAAAAATGATAATGTAACAAAGTAAATAAAATCTTCATACTTGGTAGAGGACTTAAGGTTGCCTATTGTTCAAAATCCAATCTTCCTTTACCATGTATCTGGACTCCTCAGAAACACTCTCCCTAGGAGGGAAGACTGCCAAACAGACAGTTCTAATACAGCAGTGGATAGTCGGCTCTGCAGTCCTCACTCTGTGTCAAGTACTTACTCTGTCTTTAAAGCTATCGTGCAGTTGGTCTTCAGCAAAGATATGGACCTGCAGGGGCTTGATGCTGAAAATGAGAGCTGATTTCAGCATGGTCACAGTTTCTTCCAGTCGCTCACCACAGGCAACAACAGCAAGGTGCATCTTCTCAGTGGGCTGTGTTTTCAGACTATATCTAATAGCAAAGAAGCACATTTCCAACAGTTAAGCATGTGTTTACTACTAAACAGTATTTCTGCCATGTTTAAAAACAGAAATTTGTAACTTCTTTTGAAAATGCAAAAGAAGTATCAAACCACACAAAATATTGCAATGCTGATTCAATTATGTACACCTGTCATCTCAACCAGTTTTCCACAGCAACACACATAACTAACTTCACTCATCACTCACACAGGGTGTCAAGAAAGGAAGCCCAAGTAATCCGAAGGCCTTCTACTCAAATATTTTAAAACTATAGTTTTTAACTGAAAGTTTTTTCATTTCCATTTAAAACCCCTTCACATATCTCCTCCAACCCACAATTAGATCATTATGAAGCAAGTCAGCCACAATTTCATCCATAAATATTTCAGTATTACATGTTGTCTTAAACCAGGCTTATCACAAGAAATTGGTTCATGTACCATTTTTCCCTGGCACACATTCCACTTACCAAGTACTCACCAAGGTATGTTCAGTTTCTGAAAGGACCTCACACATACTGTTGTCTTTTTGGAAAGAAAGCTCCTCAGTTCCCTTTCCTGTCTAGGCAGGAACTCACTCCTAATAGAGCAGTAGTGATCTGGCTGGCAAGCTTTTTCCTCCCTCTGGGGTGGACATATCTTCCCAAAGCTCCGCCTGACACACTGAACAAACCTGGTCCCTTCTCTCCATCTGTTCCCTTAATCCTTGCCTCCTATCTGTTAAGCCCTTCATTTCCTAACATGGGAACTGTGCTGATACCACTTAGGCTATGACAAGGAAGCATGGTTCATCTCAAAATAGCAGAAGCCACAAAACACAGCAAAGGCAACTGAGGCACACAACTCTAGAGAATTCTATCTCACCTTCCTGTTAACTGTATTCAGATCCTATTTCTCACAGTGGTTTAAAAAAAAAAAAAAAAAAAGGAAAAAAAAGTTCATTAGAACATCAACCAGAGCTGGGGAGATGGTTCCATGGTTAAGAGTATCTGTTGCTCTTGCAGAGAACCAAGCAGACTGGAGCTGGCAATCTCTCTTCCTTACCACCTCAAACACTTAGAGGCAGAGGCCTGTGTCACCAACCAAGGAAAGATTTTATCTTTATTTTAGTTTTTTTAATAGGCCACCAGGATGTCTGGTTTCCTACATGGTCTCCACTGCCACTGTCCACAAGGTGGCTCACAACTACCTGTAACTCCAGTGCCAAAGGACCTAATACCCTTTTCTGACTTCGGCAGGCACCAGACATATATACAGGCAAAAGATTCATACACATAAAATAGTCTAAGAAAATGAAAACATCACAACCAGGCAAGGTGGTATAAGCCTATAATTTCAGCCTGAAGAAAGCAGAGGCAAGAGGATCCATCCTGGCTCCGTAACAAGATTGTCTTGGAAAAACAAAAGCACAATTTTGAGAATCTCCAGTAGGTTCAGGTTGCTTAATTGGTCAACAAGTAGAGTACACCCCAAAGTCTGAAGTCAAGGACAGCTATTCACTAATCTGTAACAGTCACATGTTGTTCTACACAAAACTCTCTGTAGACAATGTTAAGAAACACTCTATACCTTAAGAGAAAAGTATTCCTCAAGAAATGGGGGGGGGGGGGGGAAATCTGCCTGAAACCCTCAAATGCCAGTCATGACTGTAATACCAGGACTTGGGAATGGAAGCAGATGGATCAGGAGTCCAGGGTCACTCTTAGCTATATAGAAAGTTTGAGGTCAGCCTAGGCTCTGTGAGATCCTGACTGAAAAACAACAACAAAACAAAAATAAAAACAGTCAACTCAATCCCCCAAGCATGTTAGTAAGGACAGCCTAGCTGTGCATCTGCTGGTTCTACTATGACACGCTCTCCCTCTCACAGCATATACTGCAGATTCCAATACCCAAGATGACAAGATGAAACATATGCACTGAAGACGTCTCTACCCACTACCTGATCCCTCAACACCAAGGACAGAAAGAACAACTGCAGAGAGTTACAAGAGATCTAAAGCAAGCTTCTAGACGGCAGAAATTGGTGACTGAAGTCTCCTAAGCATTCATGGGGAAACAGCCACTCCAGTAATTCTGACCCAAATGAATGTCAGGCTCTTCTTCATTATGGTCTGTTAAAACGTGCTTTACCTTAACTAAAGTCCCTGCAGAGATAGGAAATTTTACCCAAAGAGAGTTCTGAAATCAGATCTACTTTCCCACAAGACAAGAAGAAATCTTTAGGTAAGTCAAAGCACACCGGCAGGCTCTTATAATTCAGTAAAGCATAACTTAAGTGGGAAGCATAGCACTGGCTATCGTGAGGAAAGGGACAGCTCGCGGAATGGCCTCAAGTAGGAGCTAGGCCCAGCAGGGTTCCTCAGAGCAGTCTAGTCCTCCACAGAGCAGCCATGGACTACAAAGATGTTAACTGTGCTGTGGGCTCCCTCTGACAGGCTTCCTACCCAGCTTAAATTTTATCAAAGACTCTTCCAAGCATCCCTCAAGTAATTCTGGGACAGCTAAAATTACTGTGTCATAAACTACTGACTAGAAGGCTGTCTGAATTGTAATGATTGATTCTGACTATCAACTTGACTTGATGTACAATGAAAAGGGAAGGAAACTGTCTAGGGTAGGGTGGCCCGTGAGCATGCCCTATGAGTTTCTTAACTGTGTTTACTGACCTGGGAAGACCCACCCTAATATGGGCAGCACTAATTCATAAACTGGGTGGGCACCAGGCTCAGCAAGAAGGCAAGAACAAGCCAAGCACTAGTATGAACAAATTAGTTCACTGCTATCTGTCCTTGACTGGGTGTGGGACAGGTCTCTGCCATCCTGACCTCCCACAACAATAGACTGTATCCTGAAATTTGGAAGCCAAGTAAGCCCATTCTCCTTTAAATTGTTTATGTGGGGTATTTTATCATAGCAACAGGAAGTGAAAGTAAGACAGAAGGGGAACCTCTAAACTGTGTGAGCAATGACCTCACTTTAGGCAATTGTCATCATTGTAGAGTCCTTCCCAAATTCAGTGCACAAGCACCTCTTAAGGGCCTTTGTGGGCACTAGGCACAGTTGTATACATTAAGAAAGAGAGAGAGGGAGGAAGGGAGAGAGGGAGGAAGGGAGGGGGACTGAGTTTAAGATATTTTAGAGAATGATATGATACATACTGCAAAATGGTTTCTATTTTTGTATTCACATGGTATAAACAGATACAGTATTACAAATAGACTTAAGCTACTTGAAAGGTTGAAACATGACAATTATGTGAGTCTATGAGCCAAATATCAGCCTGGGACTGACACATGAAAATCCATGACAGAAACATACACACATGAGAGAGAGAGAGAGAGAGAGAGAGAGAGAGAGAGAGAGAGAGAGAGAGAGAGAGAGAGGGGGGCGCCATACATTTGGACTGGAGCAGGGAGCAGACAGGAGCAGTGGTACAGAGGGTGGAAATGAGGCAAGTATATTTTAATTTTTTTGGTAACCAGCATAGTCACTGGCAAACAGTGAGAATTTAAATTAACCATAAACATATCATAAAAATAGATGAGCCTTAAATGTTTTGGCACTTGAAAAGAGCAGGTCAGGTTATTCCCACATTCTCCACCACTACTGTCTCAGGAGAGCAACTGCCTTACCCCATTCCTACCAATAAGATTCCGTCCCTGAAGGCAAGAACAGCACAGGCCCCAGTCCAACACCTTCTTCCTCACACAGTGACTTAAAAGGTCAGTAAATGATGTCTTTTCTTTTACCCTTTCACGAAGGCTGTTCTTACCCTCCTCGTCCTCACAGACCTCACAGCTACAGCTAACATAATCTTTCCTTAGCTGCCACATGCCCTATGTTTAAGTACACTAGCCTTTTGGTTTTATTACATCTTATTTGTTTGGGGCGGGTGTGCACACAGTATACACATGGAGGCCTAAGGATCATCTTCAGGACTTACTTATCTTCCTGCACTTGGTGGCAGACTTGGCAGCAAGTGTCTTTACCAGATGAACCATCTCATTAGTACTGTATTTAAAAATACTGGGCACTTAATACCTAGTATCAAAGCCCCTATCGTTAAACTAGGAAAGTGACAAATGTATGTGTGTGTACACACACACACACGAACGCACGCACACACATATATACAGAATTTGCATGTTATCTGTAAATGTCTAGTTTACAGATAACCTTTCATCATCTTGTCTTACATAAATCTGATTGTCAACTTGACACTGCTTAAGAGTTACCTGAGAGAAGAGCTACCTAGGTCAGAATGGAACACGGGCATGTTTGTGACAGCCTATCTTAATGATTGATGTGGTAGATTCCAGCCCACTGTGGGCAGTAGCATCCTGAGATAGGTGGACTTGGGATCTCTAAGAAAGGAGCTGAGCAAGCCAATAAGCAAACCAGCAAACAGCATTCCTCCATGGTTCCTTTCTTGAGTTCCTCCCCTGACTTCCCTCAGGAATGAACTGTGGCCTGGAAGTGTGAACTAAGCAAACCCTTTCCTCTCAAGCTGCGTTTAGTCAGAATATTTTATCAGAGCAACAGAAAGCAAACTAGACCATACCTACTTATTAATTTATCAGCAAAGTTCAATCATAAATTCCCCTAAAATTTATAGTCTAGAAAATTTTAGAGCATTTACATGTAATATGAATTAAAATTAACAATAACTAAAAGATGAGATAAAGGAACAGAAAACCCAACCAGAATATCAATTATTGAGTTATATGACATTGAATTGCAGGAAAAGAAACACCGATATGTTTCATTACAGTGAAAGGCTTGATCATCTACTATCTAATCTTACCTACTCTGATCTACCAATTAAATATTAAGGGCCTACCTAAGAGCCGCTTCCCAAAAGCAGTTTATTCCACAAACATCAGAGGGCAGCATCCAATAGGGATTCCAGTAACAGAGAGAGAAATCTTTACACCTGACGGTGAGAAGAAATAACAGTCCTGTATGAGTATTTAGACTGGGTACTACCAAGGAATTTACTGAACAACACAATAACTTTATGTTCAAGTTTACAGCAACAAAACTGCAAATGCAACTGCTAAGGAAAAATTGAAGCATTTTTTAAAAACTGATTTCTTCTTTACTCAGGGTACAGTGTTTTAAATAAAACCTTAAGACCATAAATTAGGTGAGAATGTTCTACAACTGGAAATTTTTCTGGTCAGGAACTCTCTGGATACATTAAAATCTCCTCTGCCCTGATGACATATACAAGACATTAATACATTAATACATCTCTTCTTATTCAAGGACTATGTATACTATCCTAGAAAGTTCATTCCACCCATGTGTTCTGTTTACCACAAAAGTAAAATGTCAAAAATTTAAGTGTAATGTGAGGAGAAGATCATTAAATACATTCATCAACTCAAACAACTCAAACGGAAAAACAAGACATTGTATTGTGCTGACAGTCACGGCTGCTTCATCCCTACATTCTGTTTTTGTGAAGGTAACACCAGTGGGCTTTCTTAAGGCTGGAGTTAAAAAAATGAAAAAGTGTCTCATGTTGCAAAATGTTGTTCATTGTTATTTCCTTCCAAAGCAACCGTCTGACACTCACTCACTACCCTGAAGGACTGAAGGGACTTATATACCAAATCACTAACCTAGGACACTCCACCTCTAAGCACTTTGGAACTTTGTTCTCCATGGAGTCAATTCAAAGTTGCTATTCTAATTATCAAAAGGTCTAGGAAATTTCTGACTTCCCACAAACTTCTATGATCTATGATATGAGGCAGGAGTCTTCAGTCTGAAGGCATCATGCCATCTCTTAAAGAGATGCACACTAGACTAATGATGAAATAAGATTCTGGGACCAGCGTCTAACTGGTGAGTTTTTAAATACTGCCTATGAAATTCTATATGCTATTGCACAAACTACAGCACTGGAATTTTAAAATCACTAGGAAAAGTTATACTGTTACTTGGTTTTCCTTTGAGAGATACATCAAAGCCTACAAAGTTGTGTTCTTCAATTTTTAAAAAGATTAGTCAGGAAAATAAATATGTACCCAACAGTAATGTTGGTGTCTTGATTAGAAACTTCATTTGTGCCCTACCAGGGATGATTGATTGTGTTTAAAGTATAACACTTCCTATAGGCAGCCAAACTCAGTGGTACCCTAAAAGATAACATATATATACTTCTTTCAAATCCAAGTGCTTGCACATCCATTTGAGCCTTGGAACAAATTCTTCAGATAAAGACATTTTCAGTGTTATTTTAACACAATTTACAATCAACATCTAGCATGTACCTTTGTTCTTGTTGGAAAAAAAAATGTGAACTAACCTGATTATTCCATTTCTCCTGTCAAACCACACAATAGGGTAAAAGGGAAATGAAAACTGAAATCTCAAGTTTTCAATAAAAAATTACTTGTAAAACTGTGTATAACAATACCATTTTCTGCTGCAGCTTTTACTCTATTTTGCACTATTATGCAATATTTCCTAAATCTCCCTGGCCCTAAGGTCCCTTATTAGAAATGAAGATACAGGATCCTATCCTCTGCCAGGTAATCAAGCATCAGCAGAGGCCACAGTGGCTGAAAATGTAACCAAGCCTCAAGGCCAAAAGTGAATGAAAACAGTGTGTCAAACAAGAGGCAACATGGGACTCCTGTCTGGAGACAAGCCTAGAAGGAATCCTTAGCACTCTAGAGGCTGAAGCAGGAACTCTTCAGTTCTAGGCTCCACAAAAGAATTTTTCATCAGAAGTACTACATTGGCTCGCCATATATGCATATGGTATATGGATTGCTCCTTGCACCCATTCATCCCCAAAAGTTACCAAAAAAAAAAAAAAAACAAAAAAAAAACTGATTATATAGTACATACTGTTTATTTACAGTAACAAGACTTTCCTCTCTCTCCTCCCCGGCTTCCTCCAGACCCCATCCCCCCACCCCCAACAGCATCTCACTATGCAGCCCTGGCTGGCCTAGAACTTGTTATCTCACAGACAGAAAGGCACCTGCCTCTGCCTCCATTGTGCTGAAATTAAAGATGTGTGCTCATGCCCAGCACAATGTAGACTCAAGTTTGGATGTTTCAATGGGCCCCATGCTCCCCAAGTGCAATTTAAAATTTTTCAAAGTCTAACAAATCAATCATTACTGCTAATACTTGTATATCCTTACTACCTATACTTTTAAGCTACCTGCCTGCCAGGCATGGTAGTACACACCTTTTATCTCAGTACTTGGGAGGCAGAGGCAGGCAATCTGAGTTCAAGGGCAGCCAGGAAAATGTAGTTGAGACCCAACAAAAAATTACCCACAAATATCTCAGTAGGAAAAGCTCATATACATATTGCCAAACCTAGAGAAGTTGCTGACACTGCTCAAGCCTGATTACCTACAAGTAAACAGCCATGTAAGCAGAAGAGGCCTCCTCCAACTCTCCACACAGTGTCCACAAGAGTTCCTAAGCCCAGGGGCTGCTCCTCAGTATCACAGCTATGCTACATCCCAAGTCAACGACTTAATAAAGATGACACAAGGCAGGGTCACACACTTGAGAGTCAAATTCAAGACTGTCCTAGGCAATTAGCAGTCTAAAGGCTTAAATCTTCTAAATCTTTGAGATACACAAAGGTCTCTGAACTTTGCTGGTGTTGAACTCTGGGATCAGTAGAGTAAGGTAATATAAACTCTAGGGCACTCCTAGCAAGAGGTAAGTAGCTTTTATTTTACCCACCCCACATCTAGGTACATTCTCACTGTCTTAATCAAAATACTGCCCTTACCTTTAAAGACAACCTCTATGTCATGTTTCTTAGATCTTTGAACCCAAGGATACACGCTGTAAGATACCCAAGGTGTTTGGAGAAATCACATAAGCGGGTGCAAGGCAGCAATCCAAGCCGGGGTCCAGTGAGAAGCCAGCACTAAATGCCAGCTCTGTGCAAAGCCAACCTGCTGCAGCATTTGCACCCACCAACCTACTGGGGCATCTTCCAGGCACCGTCATCCTCTTGACCACCTTCCTCCTGTCAAAATCCAAGTTCTTTCTCTCCCTGTTTATTCAATAAATTACATGACCAAACACACTGGCAAAACACTGGCAAAACTACAGTGAGTAAAACAAGCACAGATCACACTTGTCTAGTGGGGAATGAGAAAATATCATAGTGGCTATTGCAATGTGGGATACTACCCAACAGTCAGTTCTGCAATTCTCCAATACCACTAACTTATATTCACACTCCTCTTAGGTAAAACAGGAAATCCTTGCTGGGCCTGGTTATCACATGAAAGTGACAACCTGAACTCCAATCCCTCCTCCTCCTGTCAGGTAACCTCTAGGTATATGCAGGCTCCCACCTGTATTCATTTCCCCTCCCTATTACTCTAGAGCAGGAGGCTAAACCATTCTTTCCTACGTTCTCAACTCTTACTCTGTCCTTTGGCAATACCTTTGTATTAAAATATCAAGTTAAAGCCAGACCATTTGTGCCCATGTGCAGATGACTACAAAACAATGACGTAAGTATCCTGACTCGCTAAACTAATTTAGACTTGTCCTCCGATGGGCCTCTGTCGGATTCCAACACCACAAACACTTCACCTGCACTATATATTGTTATACTTCCCTCAGGGGCCCTTAAAAGACCACCTTTCAGCTGGGCAGTGGTGGCACATGCCTTTAATCCCAGCACTCAGGGGACAGGCAGGTGGATCTCTGTGAGTTGGGAGGCCAGCCTGGTCTACAGAGTGATTTCCACAACAGGCTCCAAAGCTACACAGAGAAACCCTGTTTCAAAAGAAAAAAATAAAAAAAGACCACCTTTTATCAACCAGCCCTTCTTTCTCCTTAATCAGAAGCATCTGGTAGACTATCATACTGCTATAATTATTCATCCCACACCCTGAAAGACATGTAAATGAATCCTATTCATCTCCATTGCTTTTCCTATCTCTAAAGGGAACCTGTATTGCACTGTTCACTGTTTTTGTTCTTAAGTTACTTGCTTTGGCCAAAATAACATGGTACTAGAGACTAAACCTAGGGCCTTGAGCATGATAGGCAAGTGCTCTACCCCTGACTTATATCCCCAGCCCTCTCATTCAACTTCTGCATGAGACTCAACATATTCAGTATAAAGAGAGCTTCTGCAGCCTTGGCTTTAAGATGAGATGTCCAATGCAGAGTCAAAGGCAGGCTTGTAATGTTTAAGAAGCTATTATGTTTATTGTTAGTTTATAAACTGCAGAAAAGCTTGGAGTTGCTACAAAGGCAAGGAAGAGTAATATAAGCCACAATTCCCTTTAAAGTAGAAATCTGAACAAGGTGGCTCCACAAGTTGCTGCTATTGATGGACCTGAGTTCAATCTCTGGAACCCACATGGTGGGACAAAAGAACCAACTGCTGCAGGCTGACCTGTGACCTCTACACAATCACTACAGAGCACACATGCACAGGAAAAAAGTTTAAAAAAAACAAAACACTAATGGCTTGAGCAACCACAGCCCACAACTTCCACTCCTAAAACTCCTAAATACTCAACAGCACTAAAAACACCTATGTTCACAAGGAAGATTTTTATATATAATATATAATATATACATAATATAGACATTATATACATATATGCATACACACACACATATATATGTGGATGTTCATAACACCATTATTCATTAACAGTCAAATAGTAGAAACCCACTCAAATGAATATCAGCTAATGTACAAAATGTGTTAGATCTATGAACCCTAAAAATATAATCTAAATGAAAGAGAGCAAGCTCAAAAGTCCATACTTGGTATGAGTCATTCATGGGAAATGTTCAAGATAAGCATGTCCCACAACAGATTTGTAAGATTTGTGGGAGTCAAGAGTTGCAGGACTAAGAAAAGGAGAGGGGCGTTGCTACTTATGAATACTGTGGTTTTTTTGTTTGTTT